TATATATATATATATATATATATATATTAGTGCTGTCAAACACTAATTTTTAATTTTTTTTCATAAGTTTTTATGTGCATAATGTGTTTTCTGTGTATATTTATTATGTATATATAAATACACACACATACAGTATATATTTTGAAAATATTTACATGTATTTACATGTCTATATTTTTATTCACATCATTTGTTCTAAATTAAGATATTTAATATATAAACAATATATTTTTCTGAAATATATACATGCATGTGTGTATTTTTGTAATATATATATATATATATATAGTGTTTATTTATTTTCCAGAAATTGAATAGAAAATTAAAAAAAAATCATTCATTTAAAAAAATCTTACTGCCCCCAAACTTTTAAACAGCAGTGTATGGATTTTCAGAAACAAGTGTTTCCCATAATGCTTTGCAGTCAGTGAAGGGGTGATTGTGACCTGTGTATGTTGACTTGTGCTGTATTCTCTCTGTTATACAGAGCACAGGCTGGGAGGTAGGTGCTAAACTTCATGGTTAATGCTTGGCCCATATACGTGCAAGCTGTGGGCATTTATCATGACTCTCTTTGCTGTGAATTTGACCCATTAACCTTTTTATGGACGTTTTCGTTTCTTTGTCCATCCCTCTTTCTGTGGGACTGCTGTCAGTGATGTGTGGGCAGCAGCATCCCTCTTCCTCTCTCTCCCTTCTCTTTCTTGAGGAAAAACAATGTTAACATTGTCATTTTTGACAGGCCATGCATGGGAGCCACTGTGACACTAATGACAGATTTATTCATGAATGCGTCATTTCACTCCCTCATCCGTTTCTCTCACTATGTTTCATCAGTACTGCCATCTTTGTCTTCTTATCATGTCTCAAAAGCACAGGGTTCGATTTATGTGAGACATGAGGATAACCTTGAAGGACTGGTTTGCCCAAAAATGAAAGTCTAAACATCTTTTACTCACCCTCATGTTGTTCCAAATGTGTAGGACTTTCTTTGTTCTATGGAACATAGAAGAAAATATTTTAAATATATATGACTGGATCATTGAGTCAGTTTAGCTTGAAAAATGAATGAGTCAGATTCGTAAACCAGTCATGGACATTGTGAACTGGATCAAGTCATTGCAAAGATCAGCCTCAAAATAACAGTTTGACACTTAACCCTTTTATTACACTTTTTCTTGTTTTGTTTTTTGACAGCTTGACAGCAATGGTCCTCATTTATTTTCATTATAGAGTGCAACAGTCATGTTCTGGAAGTATAGTCCCAGTGATTGTCTCCATAGGAGAATTGATTTTTAATGATAACTTACTGTGAGCTCAGAGGTTGCTAATGGATGGCATATGCTTTTGTTAAAGTCATTAGTTCACACTATTTTAACATTTTTTTAAACAGCTGAGTTAAAAAAAAAAAAAAAAAACACGAAGCGGTGCGAATGACATAAGAGTCAGTTCTTTTCTTCGTAAGTACACAAACTTGTACCCTTGTCGTTTTGTCCAATTGCCACTTTTTTAATTTTTTTACTTCAAATTAAAATGTGAAATTTTCACCTCGCAGCTGGTAATCATTATTAAATCACTATGGGAAAAAAAGGAATGTGAAAATACTTCCGGAGCCAACGTTGCTGAAAAAGTAGAGTACTATTTAGTACTATTTTAAATAAAAATAAAATAGCAACTAGGATAGTCTTCAAATATTAATTTTTGGTGTTCCACAGAAGAAAGAACATCATACAGGTTTGGAATTACATGAGTGTGAGTAACCAATGACAAAATTATTAATTATGGTATCCATTTACAAAATCAGCTGAAGATTGAATAAGGGCTAGATGCTTTTTTGGAGACTATGCAGAATTCTTTTTTTTTCATAAATTATGCTTGTTTTTCCTCTAAAGGGATATCATGGTGAGCATCGTTTCAAAACATTTACATTCAAAGTGATGTCCAACTGACCTTCTCTTTATACAAGTTTTTTATTTCATTGCAAACTAAATCGACCCCTGAGTTCTCATTTACACCAATTTGTTTGTATACTAGTATTAATCTTACTTTGATTTATTGCATGACAGCGACTCAACAAAACCTTCATAATTTTACACTTATTGCAGCATTATACCAGGAATGCATTACACTTTCTCTCAACTGTCCATTTAATAAAGACCTTTAATGCACTTTTCTCTGCCTGCTGCTTCTTCATTGCATACTTATTTTTGAGTTTGTCTTTTGTGTTTGCATGTTTTTTTCTTTAAGTATTGATTCATGGTAGTATTGCTGTTTGTTTGTTTTGTGTGTACGTGTTTTGTTAGTCAGAAAGAGTTTCCTGGTTTCCTGATTAAAATGTTCTGTTCTCTCCTTTTTTATTTCCCTGGTTGCTGACCCCTCCTCTTCCCACTTTAATTATTGTGTCTTGTGGTAAGTTCATAGTCCGAGGGTTTATTTCCATGACGTTTATGACTGAAAAAAACATTCGCAATGAACCAGAGAGGGGCTGAACCATCTCAGACACCTGGTATCCAGACCCACACAATCTGAAAGTCACAAGCAGAAAACTCAACACATTGAACAGAACTGGAACGTCCATCATTCACACAGTTTTATGCATCTTTTATTCCTTACTATTTATTTATACAATGTTTTGACTCATTTAAATATGCTTACTTAACTCGAATGCTCTATTTAACTAGTTTTTCATTTAGGCTTATTGATCATTTGTTTACACCCATTTTGAACAGATATATATATTTTTTAATGTGTTACTTCACTTATGATAGATGTGATATATTGCATAAATTAAGAGAATTATTATGGAAAATATTTCATCTCGTTATCTAAATTTGGGCTGTATGGTTGGTCTGCTTTGGTTCAGCCTTTCTGCATCTGATTAATACGTCACTTCCTGTGCACTCAGACATGTTCCCGGCTCTGTACATACAGTGGTGTGAAAAAGTGTTGGCCCCAAATTTTCTAAAATAAATTTTCTATTTTAATGGGGTCATGACATGAATTTTTTAAATTTTTATTTTAATATGTTCCTTAAGGTTTACTTATAATGAAAAATTATTATTTTAAACCCTCAGTCGGACCCTCTCTCTAAAATGACTTGTTTTAAGAGGCGGGTCCTTTAAGGCTGGTCTGGAATCAGGCACTGTTATGATTGGCTAAAGTCATTGCATAGGAAACATTATCAACGCAACACAATGTGAGTGTTTTGACAACATCAAAAAAAACCCCCCCCGTAATTTCCAGACAAAGCATCATAAAATCACTTACTTGCAGTTTGTGATGCAGCTGCAGTCTGATCCAGTTCCGCTTCATCAAATGTTTCTTTGTGAACTCTCCATCACACCGTGCCTCGTTTACAAAATAAAATCCTCCGACACGATCCGGGATGCCATTAAAAATAACTATCCAATTGTTCGTTACGCTAGGATCCTTCTGATATCTGTACAAAGACACGAAGAAGCTGTTTAAACCAAATGCTTTAAAGCAAATGTTCTTTCACTCCATTTGTCCTACTGACGAAAGCAAACGCGCATCTGTATACTGTATCCAGTGTAGACCAGATAAGCGGCAGTGATTGTAATTTCTATTTGCTTCTGATGCATCGCGATACTCGAATTCAACGTGATCAAGTGGGGCCTATGATGAGAAGATGACTATTCGTCAACGCCTTGCTCTGAAGGCAGTGTTTATGCAAATGTTTGTCTTGCATCTCAGATCCAAAACGAGCCGTTTTTGGAGCTTGATTAAATAAATGCTTTGTTTATAATAAGGAGGGCATTTTAAGCTATGAAACTTGCAGGATGTTTTAATAGTACAAAGGCCTGTTATATGCCAAAAGATCAAGGCAAATTTGATTTCTCATGTCATGACCCCTTTAAAAGTCCTATTATGCTTTTTCACTTTTTCAACTTTAGTCACTCTAAAATGACTTGTTTTAAGAGGCGGGTCCTTTAAGGCTGGTCTGGAATCAGGCACTGTTATGATTGGCTAAAGTCATTGCATAGGAAACATTATCAACGCAACACAATGTGAGTGTTTTGACAACATAAAAAAAACACCCCCGTAATTTCCAGACAAAGCATCATAAAATCACTTACTTACGGTTTGTGATGCAGCTGCAGTCTGATCCAGTTCCGCTTCATCAAATGTTTCTTTGTGAACTCTCCATCACACCGTGCCTCGTTTACAAAATAAAATCCTCCGACACAATCCGGGATGCCATTAAAAATAACTATCCAATTGTTCGTTACGCTAGGATCCTTCTGATATCTGTACAAAGACACGAATAAGCTGTTTAAACCAAATGCTTTAAAGCAAATGTTCTTTCACTCCATTTGTCCTACTGACGAAAGCAAACGCACATTTGTATACTGTATCCAGTGTAGACCAGATAAGCGGCAGTGATTGTAATTTCTATTTGCTTCTGATGCATCGCGATACTCGAATTCAACGTGATCAAGTGGGGCCTATGATGAGAAGATGACTATTCGTCAATGCCTTGCTCTGAAGGCAGTGTTTATGCAAATGTTTGTCTTGCATCTCAGATCCAAAACGAGCCGTTTTTGGAGCTTGATTAAATAAATGCTTTGTTTATAATAAGGAGGGCATTTTAAGCTATGAAACTTGCAGTTGTTACTTTCAACAGCCACTACTCTAGTCTTCAGTGTCACATGGTCTTTCAAAAATCATTTTAATATGCTGATTTGCTGCTCAAGAAACATTTCTTATTAGTATCAAATCAATGTTGAAAACAGTTAAGATGCTTAATGTTTGTGGAATTTTTTACAAGAACATTTATTATTAATTTCTTAAGTATTCATCTCTTTCAAAGAAAAACGTACTGACCCCAGACTTTTGAAGGCTAGTGTAACATCGAGAAACTATATAGAAATTTGGAATAATAATAATAAATGAAATCAAAGTTTTTGCTCCTCTTTTTTAGAGGTTGTTTCAGATATCCTCAAATGGTAGATGTTACTACTATAATAATGATAGTGTATTAGTAGTGGCTGTATTTTGCTGTATTTCACCGTTATATAATTGCACCACTATTGCCAGTGTTGAATGCAGGTTATTTATGTAAACATGTACCAGACAATGTTTACTTTGCTGCTGTCACTTGACAACTTGCTGCCATGAGAAAATGTTGTTTGCCTCATTGCACTTTACCTTTCTTTATGACTAACTGTTTTAAAGTGTAAACCCATGACATATGTCAAATGAGTACCAACAGGATTTATGTTTCCGTGTTATCTGGTGTTTTTAAATGGCAGCTTTAATTAACAGCACATTAGTAATTAACACATTTGTTTGTTTCAGCATGGAAAGCGGATGTTTGGCACCTATTTCAGAGTTGGATTTTATGGTTCTAAATTGGGTGACTTGGATGAGCAGGAGTTTGTCTACAAAGAGCCAGCCATCACCAAGCTGGCAGAAATCTCACATCGGCTTGAGGTACAAAACCATTTGCATTTTCTGTTTCACGTTTTATTAGATAAGCAATTTGAAAGTTTTTTGTAATACACATACATAACCTCTCTTAATTTGTTAATTTTGCCTTAATTCCAGAGTTTCTATGGTGAAAGGTTTGGTGAGGACCAAGTGGAAGTTATTAAAGATTCCAATCCAGTTGACAAGTGTAAATTGGACCCAAATAAGGTGCGTTGAAATACCGCATTATGGTGCAAAATTTGTGCTCAGTTTTAAAAACAATAAACGACAATACTTTGCATTGAGAAATAACATCACTTTCCAATACAGGCCTTCATTCAGATCACGTACGTTGAACCATATTTTGACACTTATGAAATGAAGGACCGCATCACGTACTTCGATAAGAACTACAACCTGCGCCGCTTCGTCTACTGCACGCCGTTCACACTCGACGGAAGAGCTCACGGTGACCTGCACGAACAGTTTAAACGAAAGACCATTCTCACTACCTCCCACGCTTTCCCCTACATCAAGACCCGCATCAACATCATCCATAAAGAGGAGGTAACTCGCACACATGCATTGTGAAAGCTTGTATAGTTTTTCATGCTAGATGAAAATTTCATCAGAAGTATCAAGATCTTTTAAATAGCTAATGGAATATGAGTGTAGTACTTGTTCATTTAATACCATGGTATACCATAGTAATGCCCAGTGTCATTTTAGTATTAATTATAGTATTTTATTTTAACAATTTGCATTATTTATTTTTTTTGTTTTCTTTTTAAAGTTGTAGTAATTTTATGTGCTTTTGTCATTTTTATTTTATTTATTTTTATATTTCTATTTAGCTTTATTTTTTATTTCAGTTTTAGTAATTTAGGTTATATAAATATATAATATATCAATACTTCAGCAAATATATATTATTTGATTTCAGCTTCCAGTTAACAAAACATTTATTAATAGTTTTGGTTTTAGTTAACAATAACACTGAATGCCACAGTGTTTTCGTAAGGTTAAGGGAAGATATCGATATATTACTATTTGCCTTTCAGATTATTTCCACGCCTATTGAAGTAGCCATTGAGGACATGCAGAAGAAGACACAGGAGCTGGCTTTTGCTACTCATCAAGACCCATCTGATGCCAAAATGTTACAGATGGTTCTGCAGGGGTCTGTTGGCACCACTGTTAACCAGGTGACTAGTTGAGCCTTTTCACTTAATAATACAGATGCAATATCACTGATAGTTATCTTCTGGATTAATTTGAGCAACTTGATGACACAGCAACGGTACATATAACATCTGGAAATTCAGCCTCCAGAATGTGTAATATATTTCATTGCCATGTAGTAGTTCCCATTATTTAACAAATGTAGTTACTTAAATACTTGGGGCAGAGAAAAAACAAAAACATATATATATATATATCGTTAAAACAACAATTACGATATCGCAGACGATATATATCGCACACCCTAATACAGACACACACGCACACATACATGTTTGTATATTAATATATATATATACAAAATTTTTGTGTCATTGGTGAAATGAGTAAATCATTTGAATGATTCTAACCTATGTATGTATTATATTTATCTATAGGGCCCTCTTGAGGTGGCCCAGGTATTTCTGTCCGAGATCCCAAGTGATCCTAAACTCTACAGGCACCATAATAAACTGCGACTTTGCTTCAAAGACTTCACCAAGAGGTTTGATTCCAGATGCTCTCACACTACATTAACATGGACTCCAGTAGTCCAACTACTTACCATGACTTTTTACATCACATTTATAATGAAGTATTTACTATATGTATATAGGTCAACTATTATCCCAAAAAGAATTGAACTATTGCAGTCCATGTAAATGTTGCTGCTTTTGTATGGTTGCATGACATGTTATTTTAACAGTTAAATGGTAATAATACAGTGGTCAGTAATACAATTAGAACTTTGAAATGCCTGCATGGTAAATGCCACGTACCATTACCGAAATGGCCTTAAGGTGAACTGACTCTGCAACCTTTAATAACTCCCCTAGATGTGAAGATGCCCTTCGCAAAAATAAGAGTCTGATTGGTCCAGACCAGAAAGAGTATCAGAGAGAGCTGGAGAGGAACTACCACAGACTGAAAGAAGCTCTGCAGCCTCTCATTAACAGGAAGATCCCACAACTCTACAAACCTGTGTTACAGGTGAACTCACACAGGTCAGACAATTAAAATTGTCAAAAGCTGTTAAGAATGTCCTGTATACATCACCTTGCGCCCGATAAACCAGCTTACTGCAGCAACTTGGTTTACCAAACTACGTTTGAATGAATGAATAATGGGAGTTTCCCCCTTAAGCCCTTCAAGCCTTAATATTTGAATCAAAGGGCCATTAATATTTTATTAATACAAGTCAAATGGTTCACTGTAAAGTACTCAACAGTTGCTCAGTTTGTTTCATATGAAAGCAAAATTGTGATTTAAATTGTACTGCAAATATTGCAGAATGCATAGAAATTCCATCATTGAATCAAATCGAATTGAGGCCTACTACAGTCAGGAAATGGGCCTTCATAGCCTGGTCTATTTAGTGAAGTTCGTCAACAGCAACGCATGATTAGTTAGTTACTCATAACGGATGACACATGGATAATGTGTTACATAATTGTCCAAAAAGGTGTGGGTGTTTTAAATGTACTTGATTTCATTTTTCCATTTTAACAAGCAGCAAAAGGACAGCTTGAGAGAAGGTAGTCAAGTTGTTGGCGAGCATATTTTGAAAATAGTTTGCGGACCATTAAAGTTTTGTTTTTTTACTCCTTTTATGACATTAAAGTTTTTCTTTTTCTTTCAGAGACTCTTTTAGCAGAATGAGCCTTCGCAAGCTAGACGTGTGAAGATTGAAGAAATAAAAAGAACAAATGCAATTATTTATTTGTATATATCAATCCTCCTCACAATATCAGTGTTTCTGCCATAAAGTAAAAAGAGATAAGTGTTAAGACGTTTGGTACATCATTCCAATTTTGTATTAGTTTACAAAATGGCCTGTTACATGATCACAAGAACTGATGATGAATTTAGCATACAAGGTGTCAAAACCTGTATTCTATTACTCTGTGCACTTTTTTTTTTTATTTAATTGTTGTTTTTTACTTCATCCCAGTGCATTTTTAATAGTTACGGTACAACTTAAGAGTTTATTTAATCCTTACAGAAAAAGCAAAAAAGGTGATGAATTTTTTTCGGCATTATGTACCTTTTGTTTACTTTAAATATTTTACTAAATAAATACTCTAATAGCCATTCCAATGTGTTGTTAAAGACACTGCATCAAAAGACTTTTATTTTTATATGTTGGTATTTTAATGTGGCAAATAAGAATCTACATAACCAGGTAATTGAAAAATAATGAAATTTTCCCTGCCTCCTCAAATATACAACAGCATGTAAGAGATTCTTGTGAATTGTTTTATTAATTGCTCAGAGATCTTGGTGTAAAAGCAGGGCCTGCTCACAACATGGGAAAGAAAAGCTTCTTAGACTGGACTGAAGTATGGCTGATAAACTATAACCTAGAAAAATAGGTCACTTTATCCCTGTGGTCATTTATAGACAAATTATACACTCTGTACTTTCGAGGTTGCCCACCTAAATTTGATTCTCTCTGTGCAAATAGCCTGCAGCGGGAAACAAAACACATTGCCTGTGCTTTCTAGTATCAAAAAAATGAAGAGATTAATGTGAAATCTACTTTGGGTTTTTAAGCTATTAATAATACCCTCCAAAATGGACATCAAAAATGTGAATTCATACTTGAGACAAAACCCAAACAAGCAAGAATTGATCTAAAAAAAAAAAAATTTCAGTGCACAATAAATCATTTTGTGCTATTCATTAGAGCTTCTATGGAATGCTTGAAAGTATAGGAAAACTGTCACATGCACTGTTGCAATAAGTGCCAAGGTGCGTTTGCATGAGGGTCACTGAAAAGCAGATGACATGGACTCGCTGAACAAGAAGATAAAGTACAAAAACAGTAAATCAAAAAAAGTGGCAACAAATGTCATGGCCTTGAAAGATTCACATCGGCTTTTCACTGACATTTGTTACACAAACATATCGACTATTAACACATCCTGACTTGTTTTTCCAGTTGTCTGCAAACGTACTTTCATAGTCCACGTCTTACCAGTAAAACTTCATAACCGAGTCCCTTCGGCTGATTTTATTGAAAGACTCTCTTGTAGAAGAGCAGGTAAGGTGTAGAGGTGGAGCATGTCTCGGGGGAACAGGCTCTGAGGAAGTCCTCTTCTTCAAAGAGTCTCACTTCGGAGTCATCAAACAGCATCCACTTTCCCTCAAAGTCCAAAAGGTTCCGCAGAGCGAGGTCAAAACTCACCTGGGTCCCGTCGCCCATAGCATTAACTCCCTCTTCCTCTGTCTCTTTCTTCACTGTGTTATGAAGCAAAGAACCGGCGGCACGACTGGCCGAGCCGGAAGCCTTCTCTGGATTGGTTTGATTGCTGTTGCTGAGCTCATAACTGGTGACGCTTCTCTGCCCTCCTAAAAGCCCAACACCCTCGGAGGACCTTTTGCTTCCTGATTTGCTGGACATGCTGACTCTGGCCACATTTTGGCCCCTGCCAGGCAAGCTGAAAGACACCTCACCGTCATCGTACTCTGTTTGAAGTACCTCCTCTTTCTTCCGTTTCGTGTCTTCTTCTCGGTCTCGGTCTTGATCTTCATTCTGAGACTGAAGCCTGAGTGTGGTGCGATGGAGATCCATCATGCGGATGCAAGTGGTGTAGTGACCGCTGCTGATGGTTACTCCGCTGTGCATGACCACGGCGAAGAGCTCGTAGTGATGGCTCTGGTCTGGAGAATCAGGCCGAGTGCACCACTCATGCAGGGAAAGCTTGAGAGGGGTCTGCAGAGGAGTATTCACCTTGGAAAGGCCAGCATAAGGATCCATCCTAAAGATTGAGGAAGATTGGGTAACACTTTAGAATAATGGTCCATTGTTAAATAACTATGCAGGAAGTAATAGGTAGTACTACATTAATACTTAACTTAATATTATTAACTAATAGAGAAGCAAGATTAACTAAGCAGTAAAGTAGTAGCAAATTTAGGACAAAGGTAGTACCTTATTAGATATTTGATAATTATTAAATAAAACTATCCTCATTGAGAACTACTTGTGAACTATGACCAGTTAATAAAGAATAACCAGTTAATTACTAATCACAACAGTAACGTCTTAAAAGTGAACAATTGGGTTCTTTGTGGAAACTAATTTATGAATATGATATCCCCCAAATAAGTCGGCTACAGGTTGAAATTGTGACTACTACTCTTACCAAAGGATGGATGCTCAAACTTAAACAGACTAATAATAAAAATAATTCATTTAAAAATGTTAATAATTAGGATGTGATGCTGACAAGCTCATGATTGAATAAGTTCACAATTATGATCTCTGCTTCGTGTCAGTTCAATATCAATGTATCCCACTCCAAAAGACCTGCTGCTAAAATATCACTAGTGCTTCACACAAATGTAGGACTGTACAGTATGTCAGATATAAAATATGTTAAATAACTTATTAAATTACTTAGTAATTACTGAGTAGTTTAACAGGTTTTCACTTTAAAATAATGGTCCAGATCACTAGTAGTTCCT